ATGCTATCATATTGCCCTTCTGCAAACTTTTGAAACTTCTTGTAACAGAGTTTAAGTCCAGAAGCCTCTCTCTCTGTATGAGGAGGGTGGGGGGAGGGTGGAATATAGTTAGATATGTGACAAAACAATGCTCAGAGTACATACAGGTGTTCATAACATCATTTTCTTTGGTATTAAGATATGCAAACACCCATTGAGCCCCTGAGTTTCACACTGAAAATCAGCTTCAAGCAAACAGAAATTTTCAAAGAAACATTTCACCAGAACTGACAAAACTCATCTAGTTTAATCAGTGGAAGCTGGCAATGTTTGGTAGTGGCTAGGAAAACTCATACCTTGAAGTGCACACAGAGTTGGTTTACAGTAGCAGGTAATTATCAGTTACCTGACCTAAATCAAACTAAGCCACGGCTGGAAAATCTCTGTTGGGTTTGTTATCTAAACATTGTGAAGTCGTACATTTTTGCATACCTTTGTCAAATAAGAAACCACATGGAGCTGTCTTCAGTGTGAAAAAAGGTTATTCTTAACTTCAGCAGCTAACAAGTGGTAATTAACATTAACAGTCATAGTGAAAATGAGGTATGTTGTAGTCTGCACAGAATTAGGCAGCTTGAGGTATACCTTAAGCTATCCAATAGTCTTTACCTCAACTTTACCTTATGCTAACACACATGAAAACTACAAACCCACCTTGTCTTTACCAAGATTTACTTAATGCTAGACTTAGCTCAGGTATGTTTATGCTACTCTGCACTGACAACCGTGATTGGGATATAAATACGTCCTTTATAGTTTAGTGACAACTTCGCAGCCTAAAAGGCTATTTGTCCTTTTTTTGCTCCCAAATGCTGTTTTTAAATGAATTAGTAACAAGGGACAAGATTTTCAAAAGTGGCCCATTATTTTGTGTTCCTCAGTTTTTGGATGCTCAATCTTTGATGTCTTAAGAGCTGGATTTTCAGAAAATGCTGAAAAACCACCTTCTGGTTATGGATGGTAGAAGATAGGCATAAAAGATATTTTTTAAAAAATCCCTGAGTTACACACTAAAACTATAAAAGACAGACCAAACTATGAATTTCCAATCTTTAATTGTTCATTAGAACACATTCCTTCCCTTAGCTTGACAGTATTCTTCACAGTCAGTCAAAGATTAGACAGGAGACTGAGGTCCCTGCCACATGTTACACTTCAGGCATGATTAACACGTTAATCATGTCTTAAGTTGTGACCTAGACACATGTTCAGTCAATTAATGGTTTGATAAAATGAGGAATAAACCACAAAAGTGATTCCTCAAAAAATGTGTGGCTGGTTCCTATCAAGCCATTAATTGAACATGTAGCTAGATGTTCACTGAGGCTAGGTGTTCCCCATCAGCTGATCAGGGCTGCCAGTCACAGGGGTGCACCATACTCCCCTAACCCTGGGAGCCTGCAGCTGATGGGTTCCCAGTTGCTGAAGCACATGGTGTGCCCCTGCAGCTTGTAGCTCCTTCAGCTGAGTGGGCTTTCAGCTGCAGGAGCTTGCTACTTGCTGGTGCAGGGGGAGCCTGGGATCATGATCCCCCTGCATCAGCAATAAAGCATGATGGGATTTGATGCACAATCCCATAATCATGCCTTCTGCCATGCATGTGTGGCATGGCAGGAAGTGTAATTGTGTGGATAGCGCATCAGATCCCATTGTGCATCATGGTGCAGGGGGATCATGATCCCAGGCTCTCCCTGTACCAATAAGTAGCATGCTGCTGCAAGCATCTGGCAGGGGCCTGAGGATCACTTCTAGCCTATGGATTCTGAAAGCATAGACGGGATAATGAAAGAGTTACCATGATGCTAGGAAATGGAGGTGCACTTCACTTAAATACTACATTGCAGTGTTTCCTGTGCAAAACACTGCAGTCTGGGATGAGAGATTATCACAGTTGCTAATTTCCTATGGAATAGGAAACAGAATGAAAAAGAGAAACAGAGGGCACATCTACACAAGATGTTTACTGCAAGTTGCCTAATCAGCTCCACAGTAAATTTCAGTGTCTAAATGTGCAGCCCTATTAGGCCACAGTAAACTAAGAAAAGCCACTGTAGGTTAATACTTGTAAACACAAGTACTATCCTGCAGCTATGTTATTTAGTGCACCACAACACACATGTAGATGCTGACTGGAGCACAAGGGTGCTTCAGAGTGGGGGCTGCCTGCTGGTTAGCCCTGTCCTGGACCACCACCATGCCCCAGCTAGCCCCTCCGTAGCACACTGAGTTGGGTTGGAGCAGCCCTGGGCCGGCAGGCTGACCCCCTGGGCCCTCTGCCAGGGGATACTCTGATCCAGTTCAACATGCTGATCTCAGATGCATGTATAAACGCAGTACCTGAGAGCAATAAACTCTGATGTAACCTGTGCCAGTTTATTCAGTCAAATTAATTGCACATGTAAATGAGCCCAGAGAAAACTAAAATTCAGGTACAAATCAAGTCACCTCAGCTTGGATTCTCCCTTTACAAACATGGTCCTGTAGAGGGATTTTCCCCTCTATCAATACTTTGACTTCAGCTTGAATTCTCCTTCTACATACATTTTCAGTGTGGTGTGCTGATTAACTGCACAGGTACAGATCTTATTAATGTAATTACCTAACTAAACTGCACATTATGGAGAAAACTGCTCAAGTTGAACACTAGGGCTATTAAGCCAAAAGACAGGCTTAAAAGTTAGTTTAAAAGGAAACAGGTTTTCAATATACCTCTAACCATTGAACAATGGTATAAAATTTTCAGTTTCACTCTTCTTCCATTATGTTTATATTCAAACAAATGTACCTGCCTTACTAAAAATTCAATTTTAGTATATCTTACAAAGGACTCTTATAAATGCAACAGCCTCACAAGCTGTTACTTAACCAGAATGATGTTTTTCCCTTTCTCCTCTGCAAGTACACAGATGGGAGGTGTTTTCAAATACATCAGAACGTGTCATAATCTATAGAACAGAACTACTTGTTCATACTGTTTCCCCTTAGTTAGAAAAGTCTAGATATATTTGCCAGGTTTTAATTGCTATACATATAATAATTAGTTTAAACTAAATTTTAATGTGATTTGTTTGGTTAGACCATTGATTGTGAAAAGATATCCAAGCATTAGTTTTTCAAAGCACCATTATCTTGCATTCAGTAGAATCAAATTACTAAGAGAATACTAAATAAAAAAAAATGATGAATGCACGAAGGACAAATTATTTAGATGAGGCAATTGGTCTCAGTTATCTAAATTGCTTATGTCTGGAATTCAAGAACTTCCAGAAATTGATGACACAATTTTCTAGTAAAGTAAATTAATGGAAAAACAGCTTTTGTAATTCTATTTAAACCTCAAAACAACTTTTCGGTATATTTTACCCATTAAAAACAAACTAAGTAACTGTTGTTATCCACTTCAGCATGAAAAGCAGAAGCAATTTCTTCAAAAACCCAATCTGAAATGCATTTACACTTGTCGATTAGGACTTCTTGATTTTTCCAAGCAGGATTTTTCCCACAAAATTATTTCTGTGCAGTGAGAAACTGTTACATATAGTAGCTGAAATACACCACCTAGTGACTGCAAAATGAATACATTCACCAGGGAAATGAACAGAATAGCCAACTTTTACCTTAAAAGTGGGAGTACAGCAGCTGATGCAACAGTCTTTCTCCCTGCAGAGGTAGGGAGGAAGGAATTACCAAGGTCGGAAGGGAAGAACAGCTTCCATTTATGCACTGAATCACACACAAGTTTAGATTTATAAAAGTATTAATGAAGGGGTTTCCCCTTTTGAGAAATGTGTTGTAGTTGACTATCATTTTGCACATTTCACACAATGTATTGTGTGACAGTTCTGGTTATAGGAATCTGTACTGAATATGGTTTGCTACATAATTGCTTGTATAAGCAGCATCTTGCATGTTGCATTGTTCAGTTTTCACAAGTTTTATCCATCTATGAATCATTATGTATGGCAACTCGTAATTGGGTTTGAACCAAAAAATCCAAATTAACCTAAAATGTACACTAAGCTTTTGTCAACAGCTTGACTAGATCAGTTTAAAACTGCACTTCTGTTAAATTGGTACAACTCAAGCAGCATATAAACAACAACAATAAAAGGTCTGGTAACTTAGATTGTGATATCCTGTTAAGGACATCTTATGCTGGCAAGAATGAAAAACTCAAGTCATTTGTGATACTATCAGGGCTAGGAACAGACATTACGTATAAACCAGTTTCAGTGATCAGAAACTATTTTAAATCTAACAGAGCAAATGTTTAGTGCACATAAACCAGTTTGAAAATGGCTGAAATCAGTTTGAGATAAACCTGGCTGAATGTAGTATCAGACTTAACTGATTTGGCTCAAATTGGTTTCTGCAATGTCTGTACCACACCCCTTACTGTTTTAAGATAAACCAGACACCTCCAGCATCCCAGCATGCTCTCTGGACTGAGTGGGGGGCTCTGCTCCTCTCCCCTCCCCTCCCCTTGACACAGAATTGCAGGCACAGAGTGACTGTCTGGCTTCTCCCTGCTAAGCAGGGATTATTCCCCCCTCCCTTCTGTCCTATGCAGACACCTCAGCATTAGCTAGAAGATCACATGCTGGTTATGATCTATGCTGTGGGAGAGGACAGAGGCAGACAGGCTTTTTGGAGTTAATCAACAGATAGCTTAATGTCCTTCCTTGGAAGAGTTGTTTAGGAAGAACTCCATTAGTTAATGGAGCAAGGCTTTGTTTTCTTAATGAGCTGATAAACACTGAGTTAAGGGCAATAAACATTCCTTGCTGGGCTGCTTGGGGGTGGGGGGGAGGGAAGGTGGGAAATAATCAGAGCATCCTTCCTGGGCATGCCCCCCTCAGCTCTGCCCTGTGTGAGGCTGCTCTAGCACCCCTCAGCTTCTAGCTTGAGCCACTGCAGGCAAGTGCCTGCATTTCTGGGATGTCTGTCTGGGTTACAAACTGATTTAGCCTAGCCAGGTTAGACTAACCTACAAAGTTTGAATAAATTCAGGCTCAGGCTTTTTGAATGTCTGTCCAGAAGCTTGAGCAGCATTCATAACTCCATTCTGTTTCCCATTACATGTTTTTATACATTTTATAACCCTCATGATAATTTAGCCTGAAAACATATTAACACAATTAAAGCTTCTATAAGAAAAAAATATGTAAGAAAATATTCTTAGGTATTTACCAGCTAACAGTTTTATTTTAGACCATCTATGGTGCAATTTGTAGATGGAGGAATTGAGGCATGAAGGAACTCAGCATGCAGTTGATTTCAGTTCATTTCCATGGTACAGTCCTTTTGATTAAAATGTGAAAAAAGTTTAATTTTCCTCCCTGCAAATATTAAATGTCACTGCTGTGAAGTTACAGCCATGAAATACAACTTTCTGTTAAATGCATAAAATTTCTGCTAACTACCAGCAGGATGTTTATTAGATCCATACAATATTTTGCAGCTCTCAACCTAGCAAGAAGATTATCCTATTTTTTTGAGAAAAGCAAAAGTACTTTGTTCCCCCAGCCTCATTATGAAAAAATCTTGATCTGCTAAGAGATGGAAATAGAGGGTCACTAATGCATTCTGAAAAAAGATTAAACTTTTTAAAATTTTAAAATCCTATGTTTAAATAATATTATAGGTCAAATTCTTATATATACACACAAAAAGACATTTTGAATTAATGTCCCTATATTATTCCAATGAGTCAGAGTTGAGAAAACAATTCTAGGAGCTGACAAATAAAATAAATGTATGTGAATTTTTTTCTGAATGGAAAACAGAGCTGTGCTTTCTAATCTACTGTTTCACTCTGATGACACCTCTTTTATTAGTCACAGAGGGGGTCAATGTGCCTCAAATACCCAGTCCCACATTGGGGTGATTAGAAGTTTCATGTTCAGAGGAGCTCTGGGAAGAATTCCGTCTCAGGAACAACTTTTTTCTGGAGCCATCTACACTGTGGAGAAAGCAAACCCCGTGTTACATCGCTACATGAAGGGAAGCACATTATCTCCAACTACCAGACCAAGTCTCCAGGGACATTTTTACACATGCTCTTTGGATGTGGGGGCACTTTAATTAAAGTGACTCTGAGAGCTGCTCTAATTAAAGTGCCAGCAGTGTCTTGTGTATCAGTATTCTCATGCTTCAAAATGGCGGCAGAGGCATGTTAACTAAAGCTTGTCAAATGACCTTTAGTTAAAGCACCCCTGTCGCCATTTTGAAACATGGGGCATGCTAATTAGCACACACCAGCAGACTTGATTAATTAAATGTGTTCCAATGCACTGTAATTACAGCACTTCACAGCAGCCTCCCCACATGCCTACAGGCACCCCTAATTTCTAGTTCTAGGTTCTAAATGCTAGACTGTGTTGTTTCTCATAGATTAAAAAGAATTAATCTATGGAAGGCCTGATACAACTCAAGCTTTTTAAATAGTTCAGAAAATTATTTTTCTCTTGCCATTTAAAAATAACTATAAAATACTCTTGTTCAATATATCACAACTGCAATGTCCAGCAAAGGCCAAATCTGGATAATGTCTGCTCCAGAGGTGGTAAATTGAGAAAACTACAAACAATTGCAAACTAAGATTAAAGTGACTAACCCGGTCTAGATTTTCTGAGACAGTACGACTATCTGGTCTGTATGCAAGGTTCCATGAGGACTCCCTGAAAAAGGATTTCCCTCCTAGATCCCAGTCCCAGATCATTGCAAGGCAGGATCCTGATCAGAACTGTTGTCTGTGGGCAAACATTAGGGCCCCACTGTAACTCATGGCACTTTACATAAAGCACCAAGAGTTAGAGTACCATCCCAATTCCACAGGTGTTCTCCTGTTGGTTCATGGGGGAGGGGGTGGGGGTGGGGGGCTGAAGCCAGATTGCATCGGCCCAGGCCAGCAGGTAGGGGGAGCTCAAGCAGCTTCCCAAGAGGCTGCTGAACCACCTTTCTACCCAGCCCCACCCCACCACCTCTGAGGCTGTCAGAGAGGGAAGGGATGACGGGAGCTCACAGCATCTGAATGGCCAGAGCTGAGGGGAGGGAGGGAAATTGAGCCCCCTTGCCTCAGAGGCCAAATCCACTCCCCACAATATCCCAGCCAGGGTAGCGAAGGGGGGGCTGCAAGGTAAAGGACCCCCATTCCCCACCCCCTCCCTCCCAGCTTTGGCCATTCAGCATTTGGAAACTCCCTCTCCTCGCTCTGACAACCCATGCCCCCCCTTGCCCAGCCTCACCCCTCACATGAAAAATTAACCCTTGAGAGGACACAAGTACCCTAAGGCACTATAAGTTTAAGCACTTTAATGTAATATCTGATTTAACCAAGGTTATTTTTCCCCATGATTGGCCATTTTAAAACCACCCTACAGCCATGCATGTATGTTATGACATGGCTGTAGAACACTGTCATGGACCAAATCACTTGAAAATGTCACTTCTCTCTGTACCCACAAAACCATGCAACTATATAATTCCTTAAACCTGATTATCTGCCCTTGATTCCAGGCCTCTCTCTACTTGTAGCCAAGAAAATGACTAGTTGGCCTCAATTTCATGACTAGCTAGTATTCTGTGGAGTATTCTGTGGAGCATCTGGGACTACGTTCAGGATGTTTGCTCTCTGAAAACTAGTGAGTTGAACAACTGTTTAAAATGAAAATGTCTCTTGGAGCCATAACTGCAGCTGTAACTACCATTCCCAACCCACAATACTACCTTTCATACAAGAATCTAAAATCACCTCATAGAAAATTCTTTGAGAATGAAATCTTTACAACAACTAGAATATTCAAAAGGTCTATAGAGAGTTAGATGCTTAACAGCCATTGATTTTCAGTGGGAACTGGGCACTTCATTCCCAGTTATGAATGATTTCTCTACTAAACCACTTAGCTGCACTGAAATTAAAGGACATAACTAAAAAAAATGGCAGCTTTCCGACATGCTTGTAGGTATGTTCTTTGCCACTTCCGTTTCTTTCTGAAGCAGAGACCTCACTGCTTCCTGTGAGCAACTGTAACAAGAGGAATAAAACCAACTGGCCTCCAGCCAGATAAGAATAAATGCAGGATAACAGACTGCAGAAGTAGATAATTATCAGATCATTTACTATACACACTAATTTTATCTGACTTGGAAGCACTTGTTCAGAATAATCAGGTTAATTGACTTCATGTGATCAAAAGCAAAAGCATATGTTGTGCTTTCCTTTGTGCACAGTGATGCTAAATGAACTGTGATATGCTCAGAGTAAACTTCAGCTTACATTATTTGTTTGCTTTTTTCCAATTTTGCCTTGGGAGCAGGTAAAGACTCCTGCACAGGTCAAAGAGTGACAGCTTATAAACTAGAGAAGGTTGCATCCCACTATGGAAAGCTACTTGGACTGCAAAGCTCAGAAAGTGGTACAGCCAAGGCGCACAGAATTCAGCTGTTAGCATCCACTCCTGCCAACTATCAAGCAGCCTCAACTTTCAGGCTCCTACTGTAGAAGGTATGTGCTGTTACAAACTAGCACTGAATAGCAGAAAGTTACTTTGCAAGTGAACTTGCAGAATTAACAGTTCCTCCTACAGCTCTGCCTAAAAACAGGAACAATCCTCCTATAACAGAAGTTTCTTCCATTTTTTCTAACCAAATCTTCTTCCTCCATATGAAAAGCTATTTTCTACCTCAGTTAAAATAAATATAAATAATATTTTGCAAAATCCTACTTATATTTACCATAAACAACAATGAAAAGTAATGGACAAATGTGAGCATCTCCCAGCTCTCTATAGATACGTCAGGTTTTGTACAGCAAGATGTGCAAAGCATACAACAGCAGTTTCACACACAGCAGCAATCCTTCCTTGCTGAGAAAGTAGAATGCATTCAAACATTCAATTTAGACAAACAGAGCAGCACTTATTGCAACTAAAGCAGTTTTAAAGGAACACAGTTCTTGTCCCAAGTAGAAGGATGTCTCCTAAATTTGCTACTATGTTTACTCAGCATCTTCATCAGCCAAATACTATCATCAGATTCAAAATGCTATTACAGAGACAGCTGAAGCAATACCCATTATTTATCATAAATAAATTGTGAGAAGCCAGAGCTTTCCTTTTACACCAAAGCCAGGAAGAACTGAGGTGCTCACAAAACTGCTGCTAGAATGAGATAGCAAGGGCAGACTTTCTCAGTCCAAGGATGTACTTGGATCTAATGCTGGGACTTGGCTGCTGTAAACCTGCTCCCAGAACATGGTCCATCACATTAAACAAAGCAGTGAATCTGGACAGTGAACATTACACATAAACCGGTTTCAGTGATCAGAAATTGGTTTAAACCTGTAACAGAACAGATGTTCAGTGCACATAAACCTGTTTGAAAATGGCTGAAACTGGTTTGAGATAAATCTGGTTGAATGTAGTATCTGACTTAACTTACTTGGCTCAAACCAGTTTATGCAATGTCTGTCCCAGACCCCTTGTTGGTTTAAGATAAGCCAGGCATCCCCAGCATCCTGGTATGCTCTCTGGACTGGGTGGGGCTCTCTGTTCCACAGCAGGGCTGACCCCTACCCTCTGCTCCCTGACTGCAATCTCTGCAGGCGTTTGCCTGGCTTCGGCCCCCCGTCACCTCCTGTGAAGCAGGCATCCCCTGTCCCTCACAGACACCGCAGCATTAGCTAGCAGACCACATGCTGGTTACTTCCAAGCTGTGGCACATGAAACAAAATCAACAGATAGCTGGTAATATCCCTATGTTTTCTTAATGGGGTGATAAACGCTGAGTTAAGGGTGATAAACATTCCCCACTGAGCTATTGGGGGGGGGGACCCTCCCTAATCACAGCATCTTGCTGGGGCCTGGCCATGGTCCCTCCAGTCCCCCCTTAGCACATCTCTGTGAAGGGAAAGGAGGGCTGCTCTAGCACCGCTGGCTTCTAGCCTAAGCCACTGCAGGCATGTGCCTGCATTTCTGTGATGCCTGTCTGGTTACAAAACTGATTTAGCCTAGCCAGGTTAGACAAACCTGCAAAGATTTAATCAATTCAGGCTCAGGCTTTTTGAATGTCAGTCCCTAGCCTCAGTGCACATAAACTAGTTTGAAAATGTCTGAAACCAGTTTGAGATAAACCTGGTTGAATGTAGTATCAGACTTAACTGATTTGGGTCAAACCAGTTTATGCAATGTCTGCCCCAGACCCCTTCCTGGCTTAAGTTAAATCAGACTCCCCCAACATTTCGGCATGCCCTCTGGGCTGGGCTCTCTGCTCCACAGCAGAACTGGCCCTTCCCCTCTGCTCCCCGGCTGGAGCTCCAGCAGAGACCACAGGCATCTGCCTGGCTTCTCCCCTGCTCCCCTCCCCCTTACCACTCTCTGCTGAAGCAGGCATTCCCCCCTCCCCTCTGCCTTACACAGACACCTCTCAGCATTAGCTAACATACCATATGCTGGCTACTATCCATGCTATAGCAGACTAGACAAAGGGAGACAGGACAGTGTTAGGGCTCTTTGGAGCTCATCAACAGGTAGTTGGTAATGCCCCTCCTTCCTTGAAAAAAGCTGTTTAAGAGCTTGAACTAATGAGAGATCCTTTTGTTTTGCTGGTGTTAATTGTTAAACACTAACAATTCCCTGCTGTGTAAGCTGACCAGTGAGGTTGGGGGGGGGAACCCCCCCTAATCAGAGCATCCTGCTGGGGCCTGGCCACACCCCCTCAGCTCAGCACTGAAGAAGGTAAGGGAGGGCTGTTCTAGTGCCCCTTGGCTTCTAGCCCGAGTCACTGCAGGCATGTTCCTGCATTTTTTCAGTCCAGAGGGGATGTCTGTGTGGTTACAAACTGATTCAGCCTAGTCAGGTTAAGCTAACCTGTAAAGATTAAATCAATTCAGGCTCAGGCTTTTTGAATGTCTGTCCCTAGCCTGACTGCTTCAGCTGCCAAGGAAGCAAGCAGAGATGTAGAGCCAAAACTCACTTTGACACCCTTCTGCAAAGAAGAGTAGAAGAACAGAAAGAAGCAAGAAAAGTGAGAGAGGAAGACAAGGATGTCTAAAAAAATTAAGAAGGACTAATAAATGAGGGAAGAGGACAACTGGCTCAATGCTCTGTAATGCCTTCTTTTGTGGGGGCTGAACACGTTCAAGTCCTGTAGCCTCCACTTGTAGGGCCTGCCTTGCTGCCCCCGGATCATGTGAGTGGCCCTCCTCTGGACCCTCTCAATGCTGTCCACATCCCTCCTGAAGTGCGGCATCCAGAACTGGACGCAGTACTCCAACTGTGGCCTGACCAGTGTTGCATAGAGGGGGAGGATCACCTCCTTGGACTTGCTCAAGATACATCTGTGGATGCATGACAAAGTGCAGTTAGCCTTCCTGACCATGTCCCCACATTGGTGGCCCATGTTCATTTTGTCATTTTAGTCACAGTACATTTCTTCATATATTATTAAAAAGAAAATATGGGCACTCAAACAGAAAGGGAATCTGAGTTTCATTAATTTATTTGCCTCCATCATGAATAACACTGATTTTTTTTCCATAAGCTGCATGAAAACACTGTCATTTTAAGATTCTCCCTCAGTCTGGTGCATTTTATTAAGATCACAACAATACACCTATTGCAGTACCCAAATGAGTGTGGATTCTGTCCTGGGGAAAAGTTTAAGAGAAGAGTTCTCTTGAAAGAGACAGAAAAAAAATTAACAGATGTGCCATTCATGAGGGGGAGGGGGAAGAAACTTTAAACACTGTAATTGGAACACAGGAATGGAATTCAGAGACCCGAGTTTTTCTATTCTGTGTCTCAGTTATCGAATTGTCAAAGGTCTCAGAGGCGTACTAGTTTGGGTCTGCAAAGTGCTCTTAAGATCCTGTGATAAAAAAGAATTGTAAATGTGCTAAGTTTTATTATATTGCATGTAAAAAAACAATGAAACCTTAGTCCCTGTGATGTATTTCTATATCTAGAAAAATTATGAAACTAACAGTTCATGAATCTTTCACAAATGAATGGGAAAAGTGCATACATTGCGTTATACATGCTTCCCAGGATTTCCTCCCCAGCCTGACACTTCATTGGAGGCAGTCCCCACTTAAGGAGATCACTATAGGAACGCTTTCAGCAGTACCCTAGCATGTGGGGGGGCCAGGGGAGGCCGAGCAGGGCGACTGCCCTGGGTGCTGAAGTGAAGAGGCACCAACAGGCACAGCCCAGCTGGAGTGGGGCATGAGATGGAGCTGCCAGGGTCTCATTTAGGGGGGGTGCGGGGATGGGGACAGGGCATATGCCCCCAGATCTGTGCACAGGGTGGGGGTGGGCTACTACTGTGGGTTTGCCCTGGGCACCAAACTTGCTTGCTACAGTACTGACTTTCAGTAAACTGTTATGATAAAAATACTCTCTCATTAAACTGATGCCATAACAAAACAAAGAGAAAACTTCTGAACAATCCTTAGAATATTCTCACCTGATACTGGTATTTTGCTAGCATATAAAGTTGTTAAACTGTTAGGTTTTGGAAAACTGAATATAATTTAATTCTCTTTAGAAGGAAGATGAACTATATTTGTGACAGGATATCAAATGGCTATGTTGGCTTTTTGTAATGGTTTGACAGCTGCTATATCTTCTTTAAGAAAAACTATCTTAAGTATTGCTGCATCTCTCTTAGAGTGATTTGTGCATTTCAAACCTATCTAGTTTCCCTCAACTTCAGTACTGGGATTTTATTTCTCACTGGCTTTGGTGATGCGTCATTGTAACCTTGGCTACAGGGCACCTATTGATTCAGAATACAAAGACATTATGAGAGAATTGCACTGCACAACAGGGTTATTGTGACTGTTCTAAGCAGCCACAATTTCTGAAGCAAAAGCAGGCCCTATTCTATCACCTCACTAGACATTTTGCACTGCAGTATCCTGTCTGTCCAGGATCCCTTAGTTCAGATTTAAAGACCACAATGGATTTACTACATGCTGTTCTGTTAGTAAATAAAACAATAATTCATTTTGTTCATTTTGCTACCTACA